ACAGTTGTTTGATGAAGTATTAAAAGTGTACCAATTCAAGAAACATGGAGGACTATTAGTGCTCCATGTTAAAAAATAAGGATTACTTTAATTCTAAATTCAAAGATAAAGGATAATTTTGAGCCTTTCCTCAAAAAGACATAATCATTATCATATCAAAATACTTGGAAAGACACAATTAGGACTACCACTCCAATCATCAGTCATAATGCAATTTTTTTTTTCAAATCATGATTTCATAAAACTTTCTTAATAGAGATTTACCTTTCTAAGCATTTAAATCATAATTTTATTCAATTGTGAGAAAACCTTTCACAAATCATTGACACTTTATCTTAAAAACATCTTTTAGTCATGAATAATTTATTTCATAAAAACATGCATGAATCCATAATCAATTCATAAAGAGAAAAGACATAAATTCCCCCTGAACTTATTTCGAAAAGTCAGTTACACGCTTAAACTATTGTGATGACCTATTACACATTTAATCTTATTCAAAGTGATATTAATACCCCCTTAGAAGTTGACATGGCACAAAAAGTGTCTTCACCTTCCTTAAGGTGCGGGAGAAGAAGAAAAAATTTATGTTAAACGGCAAGTTTAAACACGTGGCACTATTTTATTGGTCATTATATAATTAAGTATTATAATTTTTAATATATTAATTATGTTATTTTTTTTTCTTTTTTTCTTTTTATTGGTGACCCTAATTTCTTTAAAGTTTTTATATTTTTAATTTTTTTTATGTTCTTCTTGTTCACAATTCTTTGTCACCATTGATGATTTCTTCAAATATCCATCACTTTATCTTAAGAAGGAACTCTAAAAAGAAGTAAAAAATGGTGGGGAGGATGTTGATTTCCATCGGAAAGTTTATAATTTTAACTTAAGGTTCATGATTTTTATTCGAACTCGCCGGAGGATTCACCGGAAAAAATTATGAAAAAGATAATGACTTCTATTGAAAATCCTATGACATTTATGCATAAAATTCATGATTACATTGCCTAATTTTTTTTTAAAAATCCATTGAAAAAATAATTCTATCTTTGTCTTCTTTATTTTTGCCAGAGCACCACCTACAACCATCACAATGTTATTTTTGTCTCAAGTCATCAATAGCATATTTAATTTTACACACAAAGAATACTAATGAAATGCTTGATTTTCATCCATACTTATCAAGATTTCAAAAGAACTTTTACACATCTGAAAATTTTTATTTGTTTCACCGGCAACATTGATGTTGCCCACCGCCTATCGTCGATGCCAACATCACTAAACTTCACAATTGTCTTATTGTCTCATGTTCTATCTTCAAATTTCTTGTTTTCCCTTCAATTTATGAATAATGAAGAAGAATGAAGAAATTGATTTTAAGAAGAAAGAAATGTAAGGTGAGAGAAGGAAGAAAGCCTATGTTTCTACTTTTTGCAAAAGTCTAAGAAAACATTAAGCAAAAATGGTTTAAAAAATTAAAATAATCTTATTTACGTGTCAAAATGCGTGTATAACACATTTTCACACAAAAACTGATATTGTCTTCGAAAGGGGGTATTAATTTCACTTTAAACAAGATTGAGTGTGTAATATGTCGTCATGATACTTTAAGCGTGTAATTGACTATTCGAAACTAGTTCAGGGGGGAAATTTATGTCTTTTCCCATTCATAAATTGAAGTTCATAAGTTCATAGTCATAATGAAGTATAAATCTTGGTTCCACATGAAATCAATTATAAAACCATGTAGTTTAATCAAATCATGCATAATGGAATTGAATATAAATAATTGAATCACAATAGATAGAACCCATGGAGATTTGCATGAACCCTAATGGAATTTGGGTGAAATCAAATTAGGAGATTAAAATTTCTTTGGGATCCAATGGATGAAAGGGATCCATTGATGAATTCTCACATACCTTGATAATCAAAACCTAAGAATACAAAGAGAACGAGACCTTGAAACTTGAAAGCCTAACTTCTACTTAGAGAGCTCTTGAGAGAATTTGGAGAAGAAGACTTGAGGGATTTTGAGAGTTTGAGTGAATGGGAGGATTTAAGCTTAGTCTTAGGAGTAAAAATGATTATATGGGTAGTTATAAGGCCAAAATGACATAGTTTATGGGTTAAGTGCGTAGGAAAAAACTAGAATACCCTTAATTTAAAATTGTCGAACAGGTCTACAGTTTTGACCGACGGTCCGTCCTGTCCAACCGTAGAACAAACTACTAGGGTCAACTTTTCTGAACAATTTCTGTAGGAAACTTCTACTGTCCGTAGACCCTTCTCGTAGGAACCTCTTTTTCCAAAATTTCACCAAGTCCAGGACCACTTCTACAACCACCCCCTATGGACCGTAGAAGTTTCTATGGATAATCTTGGTGGTCCGTAGAACTTCTTCTGGGGCTTAAAATTTTTCCCGTTTTCTAGTGCCTTTCCACGAGGGTCTCGTGGGAACTGAACTAGTGTCAAATTTCTGCAACTTCCTTTCCAACCTCAACTTTCAATTTTCTTAGGTGTTACATTTTATTTGTCAAAAACCTAAATTGATTTGTGTCTAGGATAAAGATATACCTAGTTACCATGCTTGGTTATGAAACAAGATGAGAGCTTAATGCTTTGGGATTAAATTTTTTCCCATTTTCTAGTGCCTTCCCATGTGGGCTTTCCTATGGACCGTAGAATCTTGTACGATCCGTAGATGGTCTCGTGGGAACTGAACTATTGTCAAATTTCTGCAACTTCCTTTCCAATCTCAACTTTCAATTTTCTGAGGTATTACATTTTCTTTGTCAAAAACTTAAATTGATTTGTGTCTAGAATAGAGATATACCTAGTTACTATGCTTAGTTATGAAACAAGATGAAAGCTTAATGCTCTGTGGTTGGTTCAATCTATCCCCACTCAATGATGCAGTTAGATTGTCAATTGTGATAGGTAATTAGAGGCCAAAAGATCATAATAATATTACTAACCTTGTAAATCAGTAATTTGATAACCATTCAGATTCAGATTTATATAAGTTTAAGTGACTGGGCTGATTTGCTCGGCTGAAAGTGCAAGTTGTTAGACCATTTTAGCATAGGGTGTCATTTTTTGAGTCATTCTTATATTCATCTCTCATCTGCAAAGGGATTCTGTCATATCTTTTAGTGATCATACTTTTATCGTCATATCTTTTAGTGATCATACTTTTATCTTCTTTTTATATATACTAGACACAAGTGCTTGTGCTTTCACGGGCCTAATATCTATTATTTTTTTGTCTCACTTTATGTGACATAGATGGAATTTAGATAGTCAATTAAATTTTAATATGATTTTTAAATATTTTAAGTTATTAATTATTGTAATTTATAGTATTTTTACATAATTTTAAAATAATATATATTACTTCTTTTGTCCCAATGTATGTAGCACATATAGAATTTCAAGAGTCAATCAACTATTGTTAATTATTGAGATTTACAATACTTTCTACGTAGTTTCCAAATTAAATATTACATGTTACTTCTTTTGATTATTGTAATTTATAGTACTTTTTACGTAATTTTTTTAATAATATATGTTACTTTTCTTATCCCAATGTATGTAGCATAAATAGAATTTCAAGAGTCAATCAAATGTTGTTAATTATTGAGATTTACAATACTTTCTACGTAGCTGCCAAATTAAATAATACATGTTACTTCTTTTATCCCATTTTATGTGACACAGATAGATTAATTTTATGAATCAATTGAATTTTTATATGTTTTTTACAAATATTTTAAGTTGGGAATTATCATGATTTATCGTATTTTTTACATAATTTTTAAATATTTAAAAAATTAAAAAACAAGACAAATAAATTAAAATGATTTCTTTACTCGTAGAATACTTAATTGAACAAAATAAGAAAAAAACATTAAATATTAACTACTAGATATGTATTAATTAACAATTGTCTTCATTATCTCATGCACTACAAAAATATTATATACATTAAAGTGAACGATTTTTTTAAGATTGATTTTTTAATAATAATTGTGATTTTTTTTATTAACAAAAGCTTAATTGTGATTATTTTTTTTTATTAACAAAAGCTAAATTGTGAATATAGAGATTTATAAAGAGAGAGAGAAAATATATGTCTATGAATAAAGGATAAGCACATGGGACCACAATTGTGGAAAAGCTAAAGGACTTGGCAGTGCACTCTCTGACATACAATTGTTGCCTTTTTAAATAGACTAGGGGGTTAGTGCCCGTGCAAGGCACGGGCAAATTTTGTATTGGGGTTGCATGGGCGAATTTTCTGTTGGCGTGAAAATAAAGAAGACGTGGTGATGTTTTAAATATATTACATTACTTTAGTGCAAGGTTATACAGTAAGCTTGCTAATGAAAAGGAAAAATGGGTGTTAGTGGTGCAGTTGCGGGTAAGGCTGTCGAAGTTGGATTCTGAATGGAGTTCTGGCAAAAAGAGTTGACTGGCCTTTGTGGCAAAGTAGAAACTGTACAAAGTGGTGGGGCAACTGATTGATTTGATGAGATATCCAAAAGTGAGCAAACTTTGTATTTCCTGTAAGGCAGGAATATCACATTAAATATTTGTATCTGAGATTATAGCATAAACAAATGGAATTGGACTTACCTTCTCTGTACAGAGGTCAAAAGTAGCTGTCAAAAAGCTTGGGTTAACTGTAAAAGTTGTTTTGAAAGAAAATGTTTGGTTAGTATGTGATAGAAATAGTAGTTGAACAAAGAATTAGGAGTGGTAATCACCTTTAGTTTGGTTTTTCTGGAGTTGGTGGCTCCAGCTTCTGCTTCATTCTTAGTGATGATGATTCTGCCTGTTCACTCACTTGTTCTGGTTCAACGTGTTGCTTTCTTTTGCTTGCTTCCTGGATATTGGTTTTGTTAGGTGCTGTAAGAGGATGTGTGGTGTATTCCTTTTCCATGCACGATTGGATATATAGTTTTGTAGTAGTTGTGTTTGGAGTACGTGCAAACGCCTTTTTTGCCCGAATAGAAAAGATCTTGTTGATAAAGCCTGTGTGGAGATCTTTCATAGGTGGACAATTGCTCTATGAGAGTGAAATGAATATTTATGAATTTATTTTGATAAGTTTATTAATGTAAGAATTATACATATATTATTTAACTACAATTTATACCTTAGTGGAAGTTCTTTCGTAAATCTGTTCTGCAGTCAGGGATAGTAATTTCTCTCCCTCTTTGTTCATAATCATTCCTGTTGTTGTACCAGAGTTATCTTCCAGATTTACATTAAATCGGCACCTGTGATTGTATGTTGAAAATACTATTACTCATCATTGCGAATTAAAGAAGTAGAAGAATTTGATATCATTGGTGCAGTAATAGAGTACCTGGGGATGAGCATTCTGTGTTGACCACAGTTCATACAGTGAATTTGCATGATGATCGGATAACGGACGTCCTGTCCACAATTGGAACATACTAAAATGTAGTATTTCTTTTGGTTAGCTGGGAAGGATATCTTTGCTTCGATTGAAAATGTTTGTCCCTGTGTTAGAAAAAGAGTGAATGCAGGTGTTTGTAGTGGGTTTTAAGATTAAATAATGAATCAATTTCTTACTAACATCTTCTTGGGATTTGGCGTTTGCAATTAGGGTGACTTCTTCATCTACTGGAATGGAGATGAGAGATCCAGATTTGGATGTGCTCCTCAAAGTAAATGAAGTAAGTGTTGCTTTGTTCTCTGTAATCCTGCAGAGAATTCCCAAGAAGGTTAATTGTTGACAGTGTGTAATTTATCTATGTAGAATAACACTGAGAATATATGAAGGAGTACAGTAATACCATGCTCGTAGTTGCTGGCTCTGTGCATAGGGGGGGATCAATTAGAATTGTTGTGTTGAATTTGGTCGTCAATGATACCCCTGTGTGAGTTAAATTAGCTAGTAGTAAGTGTAAACTCAGAGATGATTTGTAGTATGCCAATCGAGATCATTTAAAGCTAGTATGGTAAGACTAATCAGTCATTAGTGAAATGGTAAGTAAAACCAGCATCAGAAACAAAGAGGATGTTATATAAAACCAGCATCAGAAACAAAGAGGAGGTTATATTATATATATATATATATATATATATCATTATGACAGCGGACAAATAAAACTGAAATGGAAAAACGGTAGATTTCTCCGAGTATACATTCAGTTGCACACAGATGTGTAGGTAAACTCACCTAAGTGTGTTACACCAGTTATCCAATACAAATGTAAAATTTTCCTACGAATAGAACATCTTTTGTACAAATAGAAGATTGATGTAGGTGAAACCAACAATATTAAAGCCTATAATATTGGTAAGTCATTAGGCAAAACAGAAGCTATTTTTTTTGGTGGCTTACCGTTGTATCTTGATCCTCCTATACGACGTGCGAGTATTATAGGATATTCATGGAGCTGCTGCAACAGTTTGTTGCCTTCGTTATCCATAATGGTTTGATCCCATATAGTGAAGGTGAAAGTGTGTTTACTGTAGAGTGCAACAAATTTATGTGGATATTTATTGTTTAAAAGTTTACTAAAAGAAACAATCAAATTCCTTTTAGGTTAATACTTACAATATATCCATAACAATAAGTTCCTGTAACCATTTGTTCATACTCATAAGATATCGCGGTGGAAAACAATTGACAACGATTGCTAGTATATCTGTTGAGGATGACATTTAAAATGAGCATATGTACATTTGAAGTAGTAAGTTCGCAGATTTATTAAAGGGTAAAGCAGACATACCAAACTCTTTCTTGTTTAGATCAGTCGTTGCCTGGAGGACCTGCTGCTTAATATCTGTAAAAGATGTGAGAGTAAGTTTTGTCGGAAGTGGCAATGCATCTACATCATTTTCCTCAACTTCGACCAGTACGCTTTTCTTATCAAAAACCAATTCAAAGGCATGCAGTGGTTTTTCATATTTGGAACTTGACGGTTGCATGCGTGTTCTTGCAATGTAGTAGGTGTGGTAGAGCTTGATCCAATCTTGATAACAGGGAATGTCATCAGCGTAAACAATGCCCTTTATTTGATCTTCCTATGGTTGAACATGAAATTTAGCTATGCTTAGAAGCAGAGTTGACACAAATATAGACAATTTACATGAACAACTGTAAGTATTTATTAGGCTGTCTAATAGTTCAAGTTTTGTGCTAATGTGAATAGCATGATGTATAGAATGGTTGGGAAAAGGTAATGGGAAATGATGCAGTAGGTCCATTCTCATTCAGCTAAATGAGTAATTGCACTTCTGAAGTATTGAAGCTTTTCGCAAATAGCAGTTGGGGTTGTTACAACCTGGGAATTCAGATTAGTTAACAGAATGTTGAAGAATACAGAAATCAGGGAAAGTAAGCCAAGAATGCAGAGCCAAAAACAAAGATTTTCAAATCTAAATAGTAACACTTCGGATTGAAAGAGAAGTCGTAATCATTATGTTATTCCGGTTTTTAGTTGTAGATACTTCTGAGTTTACTCAAGAGTGGCATTGGTCCTTTTAGTCTCAGTTGATGTTTAAGAGCACATTAGTAGCTGTAGCATGAAAATGGAGAGATGGGAGAGGGAATCATTGTCCTATACTGTATCTTTGTTTTAGTTATAATAATACCCGGAGGCAAAAATTTACAATCAAAGATAGTATAAAACATACCAAGAATGCATGATTAAACCAACAGGAGATAAAGCATTGAAAACAGAAGCAGGAGAATGTATTTCTCCCATTGGTCAGACAAATAAGAATTCCTTTTATTTTCACAGTTTGAAGTCGAGGTATAAGTCATTGTTCTTTTCTAAACAATTGTTTTTACCAAAGCTTTCAGTTTACCAAAATTTACAAGCGAAGACAACAGGAAGAGCAGCCTGTTGTATGTTCAACACTGAAGACGTAGAGAGAAAAGAGGAAGATGACATTGGAAAAGTTGGCTGGACTGTTAGAAGTATATAAATGTTGAGGATTGATTTGCTGATATGTGAGAAAAATATTTAAAATAGCACAACACACATGTTAATTGAAACATTAAAAACAGTGATGTAAAATGAAAAGCCAGAGGTAGTAAAAATGAGGCAGTAATAAAGAGTAATGTAGTACCTGTTTATCTTGAAGGATCATATTTAGATATTTCACCCTTTTTTCCTTGCTTTCTGCTGGGCCACATATATCTACAATTTGTATCTTACAGATCCAGTCTGAGCTTTGTGGAGTTAATTCACATATACGAATATTTTGTTCCATCTTCTGATGAGACAGAGGAAAAGGAAAGCTGAATACATATTATAACTTAGTAGTAGAGGTGAAGAAGAATTGGATGGAAAGAACAAGAATAGAAGTAATAACTCAGACGATATTACATTTTTATATGTTAGATGGATAATTCATGAACTTAAAAGAATGCCTTTTTAATAATTTCATTATACACTATATTGCAAGTAGAATGATCATCATAACTGTCTGGTATAGTAGGTCGAATTAGTATTTTTACATGGTCAGAACTTTTTGCGCGTGACAAAGCAACGTAGAGCTGACCATGTGAAAAAACGGGTTCACGTAAATAAATTCCCACAAAATCTAGTGTTTGACCTTGAGCTTTATTTATAGTCATGGCAAAACATAATCGAATTGGAAATTGAGTTCTTTTAAATGGAATAGGTAATTTTTCATCTTGTGAAGATAATAACGGTATTCGAGGAATAAAAACATGCTTGCCCTTGAAATCACCACTGACAATTTTGGCACTAATAACGTGGGTTTTAAAGTTAAGGCAAATTAGTCGTGTTCCATTGCATAAACCTTCGGAAGGATTTAAATTGCGTAAGAGGATAACAGGAGAATTTCGCTTGAGAGTTAACTTATATGGTGGTAGACCAGAGGGATTTAAAGTATGCAAGAAATCTTCATATTGACTTTGATCTTTTGGTTCTACGGTTTCGTCAATTCCAACAAGTGTCATAGTATTTCCCGGGAATTTATGAATGAACATCTCATTAATTTCAGCTACAAAATCGTTTTTAGTCGTTAAAATAACACGGGATGTTATAGAAGAGATATCTTCAGTGAGCATGTTTAAGTTTGGATGAATAGATTTAAACAAAATGTCTAATGATTCTTTTTCATTTACATATGGAATAAGAAAAGATGGTGGAATTTCAATTTTACGCAGGGCATTTACACTTTCTTTGCCATTTCCACTCTTTAGTAAATACTCAGAAAAGGTCGGATCTGTTCTGGCGCGCATGTTTTGCACCAGCTGATACTTTTCAAGGTGATCCCAAATGGTAGAATTTAATAAGCTTTCATTAATAAAGTCTTCTTTTTTGCCATTTTGTATAACTGGCAAAGTTTGTCTAAAGTCGCCACCAAAAACAACAACTTTTCCACCAAAGAGTGTGTCTGTGTTCATAATATCTTTTAGAAATGAGTCAAAAGTTTCAATAAGTTTTTTTTTGGCCATTGATACTTCGTCCCATACTATTAGTTTTGCATCTCGAATTAAGGAAGCAAGTGAACTTTGTTTACTAATGTTACATGTGCAATTTTCACGTGTGTCTATAGGAAGTTTAAAACGGGAATGAGCAGTTCGTCCTCCAGGAAGTACAGAAGCTGCAACACCAGAAGTTGCAGTAGCTAATGCTATAAATCCCTTAGATCGTACAGTAGCTAATAAGGCACGGTATAAGTAAGTTTTGCCAGTTCCTCCGGGACCATCAATAAAGAAAGCCCCTGATTTATTTAGGGAAATTCTACTAAGTATAACATTGTATGCCTTTTGTTGTTCTTTGTTCAAATGGGTATGTAACAATAGATCTTCATTAGTTACAGTGATGTTTCGCTCTAGATGGATGTCTCTAGCTTGTTGCATTATATTGGAAGATATAGTTGAAGAGATAGTCTTTGATATGAGGTTGAACTCATTTATATTATGGCCCATTGAATGTAAGATATCATTGATGTGATTTAAGACTGAACAACAAATATCATTTGTCTGTATGTTTGGTATATTTTGAAAGTCTTCCGACATAGGACATTGAAATTTTTGCCATAATTCTTTTGGATTAGCAGGGTTACAGTAGGCTAAAAGTGTTGCAAATAAATGTCTGAGGCTATATGTCATTTGATAATTAGCAGCCTCTGACATACACTCTATTAAGTTATTATCAGAAGCAAGCAAGCCGTTTTTTTCGGCTGCCTCTCTAAATGTGTTATAATATCTTCCATTAACAGTTCTAAGATCTTCATAAGATTTTGGTCCTCTTATGTTCATCAGTAATAGTCGAAGATAGTATCTTTCGCCTTCTGTTGGGTGACAGGTGACGACACGACCAACGACATTGCCTTGTTTTCTTCGTGTCCACATTTTATTACTTGTAGACCAAACAAAGTGCTCAGGAAATTCTTTGTATAACAAGTTAAGTTCAGTTGCAATTTTGTTTGTTTTGTTCATTGAGAAGAATTCTGTTAACATTGTTCTTTTGATTGCAGGATTATTCAACACCGAATTCAAATTAGAGCTTGTCCTGAATGAGACAAATTGTTGTCCATCAAGATGAAGTTGAAGATGATATACTGCAGGAGTCATTTCACTAATAGAGAAGCCAAATAGACGCCACATAGCTTCTGGTGGTGAAACCCATCTAGCAGATCGATAATCTTTTATTTCATCTATTTCTATATCAGAATCATTATTATGTATATGAAAAGCAATTTTGTCATGTCCTTTGCAAATGTATTTGTAAATATACTTGACAGCTTTAACATCTGAACAAATTTCAACATTCATGTGACAGTTAAATTTGACCAAGAGGTATGGGTTGTAGGGAACAACCCATGAATTATCTAGATATTGATTTCTAATTTTAAAATATTTACCAGTATCTCGTCTTATGTAAATCGGATAGGAATTTTTGCCCTTAGATGTTTCAGTGACGTAATTGTGAGGGTATTTAAACTTACAATGTCTTGTTTTTTTCATGCATGGACTATTAGAATTTAAAACTCCGCATGGACGATGAATCATATGCTTAATAACTAAAGAGTGTAAATAACTATTTGTAGCAGGATCAGGTATTTCAGCACAAACCAGCTGATCATAAGCCTCGGGAGTTAATAATTTATAGTTATCAGCAAGTATGATAAGGAAATGTGCATGGGGTAAACCACACTTTTGAAATTCTATAGTGTACATAAAAGCAGCGATTTTACCAAAGAATTTTTTCTTGGTAATATCTGACTTTAATTCTTCGACTTTTGCCTTGAAGACTCGAGTTATTAAATCTGGTCGGTTTTGGACCTCATCAGTTGGTAATAGGAAATCATGTATTTCTTGCCACGAAGGATTACATGTCATAGTTAGGAAGATATCAGGTTTTCCAAATTGTTGTACTAATGCAATAGCATCCATGTATCGACGACGCATGTCTCGTGGACCTCCAGTAAAGCTAGCAGGAAGGAACGTTTTTATCCCAATATTTGAGGTGTCTCTTTCTCCTTGTCGTAGAAGATCCACCAATCCGGATAGTACTTCATACCTAAATAAATCTTGATTGAATACCAGAAAGTCCAACCTTTGTGTCTCAACTTTTATAAATTCATCTACAGAATATTGTTGGAATAATCTACCAGAATGTGAAGCAGTATTTTCTTCAGTATCTCTAATTTGAAGTTTATAACAATAATACTCACGGCATGAGACTCTGTTTTTCTTCTGTCTTTGTTTATGTAAAAGTTGTTCTTCAACATTAAGAAAACCATCAATTGAGCAGCAGTTAGATACAGCAGGAAGGCCGTCATTATTAGAAGTAGAACGTTTTCTTGAGAAACTGGGTTGTTGTATTATTTTTTGAATGCCACAGTGCCATCCATTTTCTCCGAAGGGAAATAACAGAGGATACTGTAACGAATCATAACAACCGTAGTAATAGTGTACCAGTTGGCTATTATTGGAGTGAGTATGTATTCGAATATGGGGAGTAGAAATAGCATTATTTGATTCATCGTCAACCCATATACCAGCAACTTCTGAGACGGTGGGTAAATTATATGTTCGTTGATCCATTGCAGAAGCACATTTAAGTGCAATGTAGAAATCAAGTAAGTTTGGAATGCTTGTTAAGGATTTGAGAAATATAGAGTAAGGATTAATTTTTAGAATTTCAACCAGTTTTGCAATAACTGATCGGTTAAGAGTTTCGGAGAATAACATTTTGTTAATTACGTCGGCATCATTGTCATAAAAGTAGATTTGTAAGTTTCTTACTTCATTATTTGTAGGAAGGAGGCTATTTATGAAATGATGCATTTGTCCTTGAACTTTAAATGTGTATATACCCTGAGTTCTTTTTTCTAACTCCTTATCATATTTGACTCCAAGTGAGGTAAAGGCAAACATGTTATTATATGTTCTGATGTAAGTACGGAAATGATTGGATTCTTCATTAGTTCCAAAGTAAAGACTTTTTAATGCGGGAGGTAACCTATGAGAAACTAACTTTATAGAACCATTACTACAGCAGAAGCCAGGAGATTCATATTGAAGTCTTCTAGCTGCACAAAATTTGCAGTTTGGAACTTTCCTTAACACAGTGGGACTACAGGGCAATGTATTCAGATTAGAGCATTTTACTCTTGTTGGTTCATGTTCTGCAGAATGGAAGGACAATTTAGAAAGGAACAAATGGAAAAAAGGATGCCAAGGATAATATAATAAATACAAATAAACCTCTGATAGTTGTTCGTGATTGGTACAAAGTAGAATGGTCATTGCAGGTGGTTGATGTTGAGCCTGTAATATTATATGTAATTAATGTATATAAGGTAACTATTCATTTATTATGGGTGACTAACTTTAATTGGTACTAACCTATTTCGTAGATGCTCTCGCATTGAGATGCCGAGGTAACAGGTAATGGTTTATTTTGAAGGAACACAATAGATTGCGGTGGAGTTATACTTTGACGGCCAGAGTCAGTCTTTGTAAAATGGACAGCAGCAAGATTTTGGGGAAGAGCATGTGTTCGAGCAGAGTATTCTGCCCGGCGTAGTGCCAGAAGAGCTACCCTTTTTTCGGTTGGTATTTTTTGGTAGGAAATTCGGTTTCTAAGATTTTTGGCTTCCTTTTTGGTAGTACCCGTTTGTTCAGATAGGATTGCATTCATTTTCCGTTTAGTGCCAGACATCTGAGGGCACGTATTTAGTGAAGTTCTTTTATTGAAGGTAATATGTTAGTGTTCAATTAGGATCAGTCAACACAGAATAACACAGTACAATGTAGACTGAAGAACATAGCAGAACAGTAACAGAGGTAAAAAAACTATAGAGTAGGAAAATGCAGAAACTTACGTTGTCAGTGAAAAGTTTGTTCTCTATTTCGCCAGCTGAAGAAGTGTGAGTTCCAAAATCCTACAGAAGGTGTAGCAAGTATGCAGTGTATTAGTTAAAACTATGCAAAAGCGAAGATTCAAATGAACATTGCATTCTTGAGACCACTTTAATTAACTAAAAGGTCAAATGACAGCTTAGTAAGAGTAGAACATATATTAAAAGGCACATATGCGGTAAAGGCGGAAATAGCAGCCGTATGCGAGGGACAAACATATATGTGGTTAATACATTGGGTAAAGTTGTTGGATCTTCGAATAATTCTCCAAGTTAACTGTCTCTTTAGTGTAGAGGACTTACAGAAAGAAGATCATGTCGTTGTTTCAGCTAAACTACTGTAGTTTATTCTGCAAATTAAGAAGTTGTTCTTTCCCGTTGCATTATCTTTCACTCACCTATCGACTACATATTTGTTATGGACGTCAGCAACGTAGAAATCCCAGAAGCAGTAAGATATAAGCTGGAGTTTTCCTCTAGTTTGAAACGACATATATACTGTCAATCAATACTAACTAAGCTGATTAACGAAAAAATTGACTCACATTTACGCATTAGTAGAGGGAACTGCTACAGTAGTAGAGGGAACTGCTACAGTATATTACTTTGATTTATTTAGAGGACATTACCTTTATATCGTATAACCTATTTAGGTATAATTACATTTGATAAGACACCTTTTATTCCTAGTTAACCAAGTAGTTTGCATAATGAATAATAAAAATAAAGAGGGAAAATCATGTCCAGGAAAGAGAGGAAAATGAGCAGAGCAAAGGTAGGCAACATACCTTTGTTAGCTTGGAAGATCGACGAACTTGCTGTTTTCCCAAGGAAATCGAAAGAGGCTTTGCATATTCACAGATGTAGACGAAGAAACAAACAACAGGTGGCAGCTGCAGATAGAGGTACCAAATAGGTGTCAACAGAAGAGAGCCTTGAATTTCTTTAAGAATGAAGCTGACGCGTGAGTTGTTGCAATGTTTAAATGACGGGGAAACCAAAAAGGCAATCAGGTGGAGTTTATTAATAGGTCAAATTATAGGTGAAATGACGGAATTATCCGTGAAATAGAAATGGCCTTCATTGTTTATCTATTTACGGAAGTAGCCTTAAACGTACACGTGTAGGCTATTTACTGATTTCGTCGGACTGAGGAAACCACCACTTATTTAGAATGAATCATCCTTTGGTTTTGCAATATTTACGAAATTATCTGCCGGCAATCATGATATTTTCCTCTTACCCTTATATAGAAGTGAGAGTTGAGAGGGACGAACAAGGGCAAAAAGGTAATTCTAATGTTAATTTTGGGTAAATCTGTAAATAACCTTTTCCTGTGTTATGTATATCCACTTTCTTTGTCTTCATTCTTTACACGGTAGAATCTAGAATATGCTCCAAATCTATTTTCACTTTGCTCTTTCCCGGATTCTGATTATAGATTTGAATCTCTATTTCGCCCTCAAATTTGTTTTCACTGCTGTTGTGTTCTTTAGTTGTGGTAAGATTTTCTTTCCCCTTTCCCTGATTTTTCTCAACTGATTCCGCCAGAAAGGTTTTTTTTTTTGGGAAAACCATTTGATGAGTAAATCGTCGTAATATAGAAGTAGAAATCTTGGTGTAGCATGTTGAAATTTGGACATATATTGTGCTTTAGTTGATGGTGAGGATATCAACTCTCTATAGTTTTCAACTTTATGTTTACGTTCTTCATTATTTACTTGACTGGTTGGTACAAAAACAGGTTCTGAAGCAAAAATCTTTCTCCAAGTTTGAGGTTGAGAACACCTCAGAAGCTCTGTCAGTAGCTATGTTGTTGATAAATAGCAAGCCCAACAAAGGACTGCGCAAGTTCTTGAAAGCACACTGTGATGGGGAAACTTTGGTAGTTGCTGATTCAAAGCTTGGAAATGCAATTAAAGAGAAATTGGTCAGCTCCCTTCTTATGTCAATTCAACAATTGTATCTAATTTGTTCATGCATGTTCGCAAATAGAAATAAATAGGTAGTAGATGACTCTGGATCCTTGATGCACATAGTGCATCTAAAACTTTTGTTTTTCAATAGTCTTGGTTTTGGTGCTTCTACCTATTTTGGGGTTAAAAGGCAAAGAAGAGGAAATAGTTGAACTTGGGGACAAACATTCGAGTCCAACTACCCACATAGAATTTAGCAGACCTTTTTACACATTGACTAACTTATTCCCTTTATATTTAGCTCTTATGCTGCACTTCCCTTTCGAATTTTCATTTTATTTTCCTAATTCAGTTCACCAATTTTCAGCTATTACTTTCTTGATTTCATTGTGCTTTAGAATTCATTGCTTTCTCTTCTCCTCTTTCACTTTATTTTCTCCTAACTACATTGTATTTTAATTTGCTTTCCTGTGCAACTGGACCTTCGTTTGACAATGAATCCTGTATAAATTGAAAGCTTAAATCCTCAAATTATGAAAGATCGGATATTTCAAGACGTTGTTATTCTCTCTATTAAAATTGAACTAGACTTTTGGTAAATATGGTTTGTAATCTCTCCACTAAAATTGGACTACGACTTTTGATACATATAATTTGTATAAATAACTTTTAGTGGTTCCGCACTATACCCATCCAACATGTTTGATCATATACGTGGAAATCCCTAACAAAAATTTGTTGTCTTTCTTTTTCAGCAGGTTTTTCAAAATATTTTGCTCCATCAGTCAACAACTCAAAATGTATGTTGTCATCAGGCAACCTCAGTTCTATCGTTTATAGTTGTGTTAAAAATATATATTTCAAATGTATGCCATAGGGCTGACCTGTCTTCCTGTTAGAGTCATTTTCTGTTGTCCACTTTTTATTAACGAAGGTTAAGCTTATCTATCACGTTGTGAAATTTCAGATTAATTGGCTTGATCTTATTTTGGGTATATTTCCTCCTAAAAGACGATCCATTCAATTTTTCACATCCATTTAGTTAACTGTAATACAAAATGACAAAATTTTTGCAGTCAAAACAAGAAATGCTTTCTAGGAGAGTTATATAAATTGTGATACATCCCAATAATTAACGGAAAGGAATATGCGAGAAGAAAAGTGTTTTATGCAAGCGATAACAATATCAAGCATTGAAAATTTTGTTTCTTAAACTTTTGTGGTTCGAGTAATCTTGCTTTTACAGTTTTTTTATATTTAGTTCATGATGTATCGGAATAAGCAGTTCATTTACATATTAATATTTTCCACGTAGATGTTTTTTGATATCTAAATGGCCATATCAGTTCAAGGTTTTATGTTTTAAATTTCAACTTTCAATTCATTTTGGGATCAGCCAATTAATTAAATTTTAATTGCTTGCTTTTGACTAATCTTAAATGCTAGCATTGCAGGAACATATGTAATTTTCTTTTGGTTGCTTGGCTCTTCCTATCAAGGGTGATTGCTTATAGTTCTAGCTGAAGGATATGACAGAGATGACCTACCTCTTAAAGTTTTAATTTTTTTAATTAGAAACAATACAACCAAAAGTAAATGAAGATGAGGTGAACAAAACTTCCGGTCACCAATACTCAATCAATTAAGGCCCCGGGACTTCTCCCGTTCTCTTGGAGATGAGTGAAGACACAAGCAGAAGAAAGAGTAGAAGGTAAGATAATTTTTATTCGTTCTTTTAATATCTTTTTTATTAAGAAAGTTATATAGTTGTGGTGACATTTACAAGTTTCTACTATCTTTGTTGTTGGGTTTATCTGTGTTGAGCTTTTGTTGCTTATTTTCTCTTACTGTTATTTCTTAATTTTCTCATTAACACTCATCACTATTTTTAGTGAACTTTTGAAGTTGTACATGAGAATTGATGAGGTTGTTGGTGTATATTTTATTCCCATTTGATAATTTCGTTTGAAACATGTATGTTTTGACATGTGTTGATTTTCATAGATTTGGATATTACTAAGGTAGAGAGCTCAAAACTTTTGTGGATTAATTTTGTGCTATTGTCTGATCGATTTTTTTTGCTTTTATTTCCTTGAACAGTTTGATAGGATTCATTGGTAAACAAAAAAAACATGTTTATCACAAAGAGAATGTATCTCAAGAGATAAAAGTTATTTGTTATGAAGATATATCATGCTGGACTAGAACACTTTATTCATTGAGCTCTCATTACTGTGACATGTTTCATGGTAAATCCCAATTTTGCTAATGTGGAATGATTTCTAGATTTTCTTATTTGTTTAGTTTAAATGCTATGATTGTTTGACGAATATTCGGTCTAATCAGATTTGACACACTTGCTGCCAGACTAGATAAGGAGCCTTAAAAAAGAACACTATAACAGGTGGATGTATAAAGAAGTAATGAAAGATATGTTCTCACATTCTTCAATTATTTGAAGGTTAAATTGACTATTTGATCTCAGTTCCTAAGACATTAAGTGTTGATTGATCCTCCTCTCCAAGGAGCTCAATTTACCTGGTCAATAGGGGAGGTCTCCTTCCAATCCTCTAGAATTGACAGGTTTCTTATCTCACCTGAATGGAGTGAAATGTTCAATGCTATCAAACAGTTCCCACTGCCTAGAGTGTTATCTGACCACAAGCCCATCGTCTTGGAAAGTGGTTAAACCAGAAAACAAGCTGAATTTTCTCATTTCGATTTAGGGTTCATTCACATGGCGGAAGCAAATAGTTTCACTCTCTCTTCTTCCTTCCTCAAACAAATACAATCTTTTTTTAATAAATTAATTTTCACCTTAATTACATTCAATTATATACTCTGTAGAAATTCATGGATTTTTATTTTTTTTTACGTTTTGCAGGTTTACTTGTATGATTGGTGGTTGATTAAAGCTGACATTGGTGATGGAAGCAAGCGATTGGGTGTTGGAGGTTTCACTGCAAAAGAGTAAATTTTTTCCCTTTACTTTAGAATGTTGCTGATTTTTTTTTTCTGTTTTGGTTAAGTCTGTTAAATAGGGAGTATAAGATTTTGAGGTATCGGTTTATTGAATTCAGGGAGTTGAATATACGTATTCTTGAATGAAAGTTGGAATTTTTGTTGATAAGTTAGTTAGTTAGTAGGGAGTATAAGATTCTTGAGGTAGTAGTTCATCTAATTCTGGGAGTTGAGTCTTGAATGGAAGTTGGAATCAGAGTAGTTGTCCTCTATGTTGTTCGTACTCTCCAAAAATGTTGCTGCATCAGGATCCGACACACGCCCATCAATATTTTCGAAGAGTCTGATAGGTTGTCCTCTATGTTGTTCGGACTCTCCAGAAATGTTGTTGCACTTGTGTTAGATCCTCCAAAAATGTAATGCCTTTGGAAGATCCGACGCACACCCATCTGTATTTTCGAAGAGTCTGAGCAACTTAGGATGTCCTTTTGTTTGTGATAATGGTGTGCGTGCGAGCTTGTGTTTCGACTGTTCCAACAGGTACCTGCTATCGTCCATGTGATAACTCTGCCAGGCGCCAGCCAAGGCTTAGGCATATAGAAAGAAATCATATAGAGTTTTTTTTTGTTTCTGGTGGAATATGAATCTATGAACTCATGGTTCTCCTTCCACTTCATTGACCACTAGCCCACATCCTTTTGTTCTTGCCAATTTTCAAGTAGTTTCTTGGAGCATGATAAAGCCAACGAACTAGTTCTGTGGTCAAATAATAAATATGCTTTTAAGCTGGTAACCGATCGCATGATTTGAACCCCCCCTCCCCCCCAAAGAAACAAAAAAGAAAAAGAAAAAAGAAGGCAATGGATCACATTAGAGAAAAAAATATGAATTTCTTAAAGTTGGATTTGAATTTGCATGCTCAGATAGTTTTTTTTTTTAAAATCTTTTCTAGGGTGCTGGAAAGTTAGCAAGTAGTTTTAAGAGCAACATTTTGTCCTATCAATCAATATATTATTCCGTTAATCAACAATGGTCAATCCCAAATTAGTGTGGTTGGACTATGAAGCCTCTGTATTGATTCCACTCCGTGCTAATTTAATTTAAATATCAAAGAAGTTAGAGCATTTGCAGGTCTATGTAGGACGTGGTATTTTTTCTCTTACATGTGCTACTTGCACCATCTTTCGGGTGATTTCTGGTCTTTTCTACTTTTATATGACCATTTTTTATTTTATTTTGTTGATGAAAAATGTAATAGATTTCATTAAAGAGTACCAAAGAAGGTCCACAAAAGAGTACAACAACATACCAGAAGATCAAGAGCAATGGTGGGCTTTTCCGACATCATTAAAGATTTAGAATTGATTGATCCTCCTCTCCAAGGAGCTCAATTTACCTGGTCAAGAGGGGAGGTCTCCTTCCAAGCCTCTAGAATTGACAGGTTTCTTATCTCACCTGAATGGAGTGAAATGTTCAATGCTATCAAACAGTTCCCACTGCCTAGAGTGTTCTCCGACCACAATCCCATCGTCTTGGAAAGTGGGGATTGGGATGCTTCACCCTCTTACTTTAAATTTGAGAATATGTGGCTAAGTCAGATGGTTTCCTAGATATGGTAAGAGATTGATGGAACTCTTACATTGTTATGGGCACTCCTGATTTTGTCCTGATCCAGAAGCTAAGGCACTTAAAGAAGAATATTACAAAACGGAACAAAGAAGTTTTTGGTAAGATTGATACTCAAAGACACAAATCTCTCATGGAACTTGGAAAGTTGGATCAAATTGCTGAGCAAAGACATTACACTACTAAGGAGAATTTGAAGTTGCTTGATTTGAAAATTCAGATTCAGCAGATTGCCATCGCTGAAGAGATCTCATAGAGGAAAAAATCTAGGTGTTTATGGCTGAAAGAAGGTGATAAAAACACTAAATTCTTCCAAAGAATGGCCAATTCTCACAGAAGGAGTAACTGCATTGATAAATTGAGAATTGGGGATGTTCTAATTGAAGACAAGGGGCTGATTAAGGAAGATATTCTAGATTATTACCAAAAGCTATTTCAGGAGTAAGAGACATGGAGACCTACAACTGTTTTTGAGGGACTCTCCACTATTAGTGCTATAGAAAAAGAGGAGCTTGAGCTTCCTTTCAATGGGCAGGAAGTGTCAGAAGCCCTTAAATCTTGTGCTCCAGACAAAGCCCCAGACCCTGATGGCTTCACCATGGCCTTCATTCAGAGATCATGGAGCTTCATTAAATTAGACCTAATGGGAGCACTAAACTTCTTCCATCAGAATTGCCAAATGGTGAGGTCTTGCAATGCTTCTTTCATTGCCCTTATGCCAAAAAAGAAAGGAGCACTAGAACTCAGAGATTTTAGGCAATTAAGTCTTATGGGTAGTGTCACGACCCGGGAGCACCCCCTAGTCGTAACCGGCGTACTCGACCTCGAAGAGGTCTAATACAAGCCTCTTAGCATTCATTCATCGCATAGACACTAAAAACCATAAGGAATTAAAAACTTTCTTTACAAAGAAGACATTTCATTAAAAATAGCAAGCGGAAGACTTTCTAGACTTTATACATGATGTCTCAAAACCATCTAATACTTTAGAGTACAAAATTCGGGACTAATCCCGTACACAACTCAAACAATACTAAAAAGGACATAAAAGGACATATTGGGTATTGTCCTCGAATCTATGAGGACTCACCAAGTCTTCATCTTCAACACTTAGAAACCTATCAAATAGCCATGACATGTCACCATCTCCAAATCCCTAAACTTTAGTCCAAAAAGGGAAAGAAAGGGGTTAGCACAATTAAGTACTAAGTATGGAAGCCATGCAAAAACATGCTAAAAGGGACGTTTATTGGAGAAACATGCTTTTATGCCATTTGGTAAAACTTCATGAAAAAAAAATACAAGTAAGCCTTTTCATCATTTCTTGACCTCTATCTCAAGTTACCCAAAGCCACACTTAAGTGAAACATGAAGTGACCGCCCATACAATCTCTTCATATACACCTAAGTATTCCTAAGGGTTACCATAGATAAGGAAATTTACCATTACAATATAACATACTAAGTCAATGTTCACATATAAAACCATAGCCAACCGTATACATACTCAACATATATTCATATACAACCCATGCTTAACTTTAAAAGAACACATGTCATTTCATTACCATAGGACCTCTACCTAATATAACCTTAAGACACACTTGAGTAAGACAAGAAGTGACCGCCCATACAACCTCTTCAAGCACACTTAAGTGTTCCTCAAGATTACCTTAGATAAGGACATTTCCTTTACAACATAACATCAATAGACCAACATTCTTTAAGAAACCATTTTGGAGACATTCAAGCACATAAGGGGACTTTCACATAATAGTCGTTAGACTTAGGGAACTCACTTTAGTATCTTCAAAGCCTACTCGTGCCATGTGTAGATAGCATCCCATACTACTACCTACACTTTGTAGAACCTATCAAGAAACCATAATGAAATCTCACATGATGGGAAGTAAGCATTTAACCGACATAGACCATGAGAGCTTGTCATGGAATCCGGTGTCATGAGTCCCCACACCGAAAAGAGGTGGTCTACTTGCCTAAGGAAGACCGGTATATATAGCTTAATGGATCCACTAGCTTCCTATGCGGGCACATAGTTTATGGGATAAGGTAGACGATCATTGAAACTCATGCCTAACTGTCGGGGGAGTTTCCATCTAACCAAATCCGCTCGGTGCTTAGCCTACATTCCCATAGAATAGTTCATTACTTTGACATCATCACACATGAAAGGGTGCCATAAGCCTGCCGATTCAAGGTACATTATTTAACACATGAAAGGGTGCCATAAGCCTGCCGATTCAAGGTACATTATTTAACACATGAAAGGGTGCCATAAGCCTGCCGATTCAAGGTACATTATTTAACACATGAAAGGGTGCCATAAGCCTGCCGATTCAAGGTACATTATTTAACACATGAAAGGGTGCCATAAGCCTGCCGATTCAAGGTACATTATTTAACACATGAAAGGGTGCCATAAGCCTGCCGATTCAAGGTACATTTAGGAAAGCTCATTAACTCCTCTTGAAAGGGTGCCATGGGCCTGCCGATTCAAGTCTCATCATTAACCTTTATGGAAAGGTGCCATAGGCCTACCGAATCCAAGGTTCATTACTTATCATTAATGGAAGGGTGCCATTAGCCTACCGATCCAAGGTTCATTATAAGCATGTGTGGAAGGGTGCCATAAGCCTACCGATCCAAGGATTCAACAATCAACAATATAATCATTTATACAAGAAAATGATGCATAAGCCCTACCAATTCAAGGTATACTTTATATTGAAGAATCCTTCATATTATATCATCAACATTCATGAGTGTCATCAACACATCTCTGGATTTCCATACATCTCATAACTCAAACTTTAAAGCATCGATTCATCAATTCTCCATAGTTGGACATTTTGTCAAACACCTTGAAGGCATGTAATGGAATCAAAGAGCATGGAAAATAGGGTAGTAATTATGCAACCAAACCAGTGAACAACCTACAACAACACCTTTACATTCATAACATGATCACATTATCTTCATTGAACTCTCATTCATACAATGTCATGATAACACTTCAATTTCTCATACTTTGCCTTTAAGGCCATAAGCCTCTCATACCAATACACCAACAA